TTAGCTGAAAAAAATTGAGTTTTATCTGAATTAAAGTTCACCAGCCACTGTGAGCCCCATGCTGCAGTAGAAATGAGATCCTTTTCTAGCTCAGATGCCCCCCTCCAAGCAATCAGAGAGCATTAGCTTCTTATCATGACAAGAATAAATGGTAGTGTCATAAGCAAACAAAACATAGATGTGAGAGTATCTGGAAGATCGTTAATGTAAATTAAAAAGATTATAGGGCCAAGGATTAAACCTTGAGGAATTCCTGAAGAAAAGGAAGGACTCAATAATTTTAAAAATGTTACCAGATACACTGTAAGAAGAAAGCTTATGGAGAAGACCAGCATGCCAAAACTTAATCAAAAGCTTTAGAAATGTCAAGAGCAATAGCCTTAACCTCTCCACCTATCTAATGCATGATAAAACCTATCGGTATATATATATATATATATATATATATATATATATATATATATATATATATATATATATATATATATATATATATATATATATATATATATATATATATATATATATATATATATATATATATATATATATATATATATATATATATATATATATATATATATATATATAGAGAGAGAGAGAGAGAGAGAGAGAGAGAGAAAGGCCTCATCAGGAAAAAATAAAAAAAGCTCTCGTAAAACAAACACGGCGAGTCATGCAAGCTGCTCCTCTAACCAGCTTCTTATGAGAGGTTTTGGTTTTTGCACAAGACACCTGTTTGTCCCTTTAAAATTGCTTAATAAATATCAAATTTAGTTTTATACTTGTTATTAGCATATGTTTGTAACATTAATATTGCAAGAATATATACATAACAAGCATCATTTATTGCGTTGTGAAAATTTTATTTAGATGAGTGTTGTTTGGGTTTTTACACTAGCTATCCATTTATTTGTAAACAAAATTACTTGATAAAAAATTTGACAAAGAGCTATAAAAGTTTCTGCCGCTTATAAAAAATGTTTTTAATTTTCTTATTTTAATAGAATTCAGGCATTTTAAGAATTATTACAAAAATTAAAAATTCCAAATAAAAGTGAATAATATATCAAAGTAAATAATGTATAAAATAATAATTCATTACATAAAATAAAAATTATTATGCAATAATTTAATGTGTAATAACTTCATATTTTATCATCAAAATAATCTTACATTTTACCAATATAATTTAGAGTGTAATAATTTTATATTTATCAGTTAGTCCAATCTAATCAAAAACATGTGCATTTCAATCAGCGCTCTTTTTAATTTTTAATTTTTTTGCAACAAAAGTGTCTTTTTAAAAGCATTGCAGTTATGCAATTATGCAATTGCAGTTATGCAGTTATGCAATTAATTTATATTTTTTTTATAAAAAATGACTTTTTATTTTTTATAATTATACTAATGCAACCACGCTTTCAAAATATCTATTGGATACACTAAAATACAGCTCTGTTTTAATTTAAATCATTTTAATTTACTTTAATTCATTAAGCACTCTCACGAAGATATATGCAAGCACTAATACGTATATATATATATATATATATATATATATATATATATATATATATATATATATATATATATATATATATATATATATATATATCTACATATATATATATATTATATATATATATATATATATATATATATATATATATATATATATATATATATATATACTTAACAACAGCAGGATTATTAAAACTAAAACTTTAATTGATTCAAAAAATTGTATCAATTTTTTTTTTTAATACTAATTTAATAAACTTTCTAGGATATTAAATGACAGAAAATAATAAATCATTTTAGTATAATAAGTAATAGAACAGATAACTTTTGTTTAAGTTATAAATAAGACTTTTTTATTTACATCAACTTAAGAATAGTTGCATAATTAGCAAGTTGAGAGTTTTTACTTTTTTTTAATGGTGGGTTAAACCGTTTTTATATCTTTATTTTCTATTTATATTCTTATCAATGTTACACTAGACTTAACATTACAAAACAATCTAATTACAAAACAGTTGGAAGAGCAATGTCAGCGTAACAAATTAATGAAATGCTCAGTAAATTCTACCACTACCTTAAGTCAGGGAATTTGTTTAGATAAGGCAACAGAAGTAATCATTTTAATAGACCTGTTAAACTAGCACAGAGAATTTTAGAAGATGCAACACTGATGAACTACTTTTTTTTTTTTTTTTGTTATGTTAAACTTGCCTTGACAACTTCTGACAACCAGAAGTTGTCAAGGCAAGGCAAGGGGAACAGACAAATTTGGACAATGGTAAAGATTACTTATGGGCAGACGGTTTATCCAAAATCAAGACAGTTTATTGACAGTTGGGAGAAATTATTTTTATTTCTATAATTCTGGGTGAAACTATCCAGCCTCATCAAACTAAGTATTGTAAGATAAAATGTTTTTTATGATGAGATATTCCCCCCTTGAATCTGCATTTGTGAAACAACCCAATGTCGTTCAATGGAGAATCAACAACCATTGCAATACATTCTCAGAAAAACACAGCCATGACTAAGGGATTTCTAGTGGATTCTTCTTTCACAGAAATCAGTGACTTAACAAGAGAAAAAAATGAAAGTGGAACAAAATGACCCAGAAATAAAATTAGCACGGTGATTGGAACGCAATTTTACAGAAACTGTTAAACTGTAGACAAAATTAGCATTGCTGAAGAAACAAAACTTAAGAAGAGTACCATCAGGACTCTAAAACTACTGGAAAGTTTGAACAAACTAAAAAAATTGAAAGAAGAGTTTCTTATCAAAATTTTAAATTTAAGACCAGCAATTACACTGGACATTTTTTATAAAAGAGAGAAAAAAGACAGTAAATTTGAAGTAGTGAATTTCACAATCAAAGAACTCAGAGTCTATAAAAATGCAGTAAAAACCAGAAAATAATATCATTAACAGCATAGATAAACTGTTGATGAGCTTCAAACAGTTGAATCAATCGAGATTATATTCAGGATTTAAAACTTGAAAAAGTTTTAAATTTGAAAAACTTTTCAGATTGGACTTTTAAAATTTATAACTCAGATTTTTGTTGTATATATCAGTGGTTAAGAGCACAAATATGTCCAACATTTTTGTTGTATATATCAGTGGTTAAGAGCACAAATATGTCCAACATTTTTGTTGTATATATCAGTGGTTAAGAGCACAAAGGGAATATGTCCAACATTAAACAAATTAGGTATTAAAGTATGTAAAAGAAATGAAAATAAAGTAGTAAAAAACGACAGAATTAATTAAGGAATGCATTTGGTTAAAAATCATGACAATAAATAAATATCATGAATTATTGTATGTTTTCAAACTTTCAAATTCAGTTTTCTCAAAACAATGGTTAGTGGACATATTCCCTTTGTGCTCTTAACCATCGATATATTGGTGTCATCTGTTTTATTATATTACACGTTACGTGTTTGTTATATATATAATGATAAATGTTATTGTAAATTAAAACACAAAACTAATACCTAATTCTATATGCTTTAAATCACAAATCTTGATTATATGCGTTACATATGTGATTATAAACCCATATTTTGAATAAATTTAATATAACCAACCCAAAATGTCAACTAAGAACTTTTTAAGTGTGATATTGGGATTCAGCTCCCTTGAGAGCACAAGAATTAACAAAAAGTAACAACATCAAATACCACCTGTGAACTAATAAACAATGCAACTGAACACAGTGTCTATACTATAAAGATAATGTTAAAATAATAAAGCACTGAAAATTGGAGGAACTAGAGGTTAAAAATATTGGCACTATTATAACCAGTTAGAATTAAGTAATGGATATATGATGACACCCCATCCAAGGGAATGTATTGGAATCACCTCATGGTATTGCTACTGTTAATACCACATACCTAACCTTTAAACTAAACTTACCCCCCACCCTACTTTGAAAAAAAAAAGAAGATTTTTTTTTCACTAATGCCTTGTTAATAAAACCCATCAATCACATGGTTTGTTAATAAAAACCACCATTCACATGGTTTATTAATAAAAACCACCATTCACATAGTTTGTTAATAAAAACCACCAATCACATGGTTTGTTGATAAAAGCCACCATTTACATGGTTTGTTGATAAAAACCACAAATCACACGATATGTTAATAAAAGCACCCATTCACATACTTTGTTAATAAAAACCACCTTTCACATAGTTTGTTAATAAAAACCACCAATCACATGGTTTGTTGATAAAAGCCACAAATCACACGATTTGTTAATAAAAGCAACCATTCACATGCTTTGTTAATAAAAACTACCATTCACATGGTTTGTTAATGAAAGCCACACTTCACATGGTTTGTTGATAAAAGTCACAAATCACATGGTTTGCTAATAGAATAGAAAATTAGATAAAACATCTACAAAAAAAGTATATTGGAATAAATTACTTAAAACAAGACTTCCAAAGCAATGTTCAGAATCTATTCTAGAATTTAATAAGTATATTGAATTAGAACTAAATAGGTAAGTTTTGTAGGAACTATTATCTTGTCATTCTATTGTTAAATGCTCAAGTTCCTAATGCAAAAAAAATTTATAAAATTTGTATTTCTTTTTTTTAATATTTTTAAAAATATTTTTAATTTTTTATGATTAATTTAAACATGATCCTATAGCTGTTAAAAAAAATATTTTTGATGCTTATAAATTTTATTTACAAATGATTTAAAAAAAAACTAAATAATAATAAAAACAAATCTACTCAATGCAAAAGAACTTTTTTTTTAAAAAAAAGCAATGCATTTTCAAAGGTATTAAATACTGATGCAGTCAAGACTTAAAAATACAGACACAGTTAAGTTTTACTTAAAAAAAAAAAATAATGATCTAATAGTGATATGTAAATAATGACCTAATAGCAATATGTAAATTTTATAAAATTATGATGATTAAATGATTTGAGCATATGTTGTTACTATACTGACCTGATTGTTTTTTGCAAGCGTAAGTAGCAATCAGTTGCAATTCCCCATGTTCTACTTTTTGATTTCAAAAATTGTTTAACATTTTCTTGTAATGAAGAACTAAAAATATACTTGATTAGATTTTTAAATTGTAAGAAAATTTTTTTAAAGAAATTTTAAACAAATTGCAAATAAACTAAAAAGTTTTTTTTAAAAATAAGAAATAGGTAAAGTGGAATTTACTAACCTGCAAGATACACATCCAGTTAACAGCCACAGTAGTTCCCAGCCTTTCTCTTCACTTAGTCGATGGCTACAATTAATCAATATATTTCTGAAATATTTGGTATTACATTTCAAGGTTGTTTACAAATAGCATAAACTTATTACATTACGTAAACATCAATAAATAAAACAATAAGTCATCATCATCACTATCATCACTATCATCACTATCATCATTATCATCATCATCATCATCATCTTCATCATCATCATCATCATCATCATCATCATCATCATCATCACTTCAATACTAGACAAATATGTAATTTTTGCACCAGCTTATAAAAAATTTTAAAATTTATTTCATACGGATTTTCTGTTAATTGCTTGATAACTTGACAATAAAGTTCATCCCTAAGTGGTTCCTAAACAACATCCATATATAAGTTTGTAAAAACACAAACATTAGGGGGAAAGGATTAAAAACAAAGTTAATAATAAATTTATATACAAATCCTATCTACATATACAAACATATGTACATAATAAATTAAAATAACTATAATAAATAAAAATAACTTTATAATAAATAAAAATAGACAAATGCACACATGCATGCATACATGTACATACATTAAGAATTGCAGGTTCTATAATTAGATCAGTAAGATCAGTGTTTCTTCTAGTTAGTTTAGCTGGCTGGTCCTCCATGTACTTCATAATAGGTACAAAAAGTTAAGTAAAAACAAATATTAAACTAAGTCATATTAAAAGTCATTAACAAATTAAGTTGAATAAAAGGTCACCAACACAAACCACCAGCAAAAAAGGTAATTTTCCAGATGAAATGACTTCTTTACATCCTTTAAACATATCTTTAAATTTATCAGAAAAAAGTATTTAATAACTATTTATGTCCTGCATTCATTTTGAACTAAACAATCTTATTTGTATGTTCTATAAATAATCTCTATAAATGTTCAAAATAAATTTTAAGAAAAGATATAATAAAACATTTCAACAGCTTTCTTTGATAATTCTTCATCATTGTTCAAACGTTTAAGTAGCGGCTGCTTTATTTGTTCCTAAAATGGAAAATTTGAATTTAAGTGATTTAGTTCTTAATATTTTAACATAAATATTAATTTAAGTGATTTAGTTCTTAATATTTTAACATAAATGCTCTTATGATGAACATTCGTTAAAAAAATTCATTAAAACAAAAAATAAAATAAAAAAATTCATTAAAACAATAAAAAATAAAATAAAAAAATTCATTAAAACAATAAAAAATAAAATAAAAAAATTCATTAAAACAACAAAAACTAAAATACTCTTGAGAAAAGCCACAAAGAATCACTTTTCATATTTCTCAAAGATTTCTGTAATGTTTTTGTTAAAGTTCTTTTAGGTGGTGGGTTAAAATTAAGCTCAGCATACAATTCTAAAGTGTGAGGAGTTTCTGGAATATCACCTAATTCAGAAAATATTGTTTCTGAAATTGTTGATTCTGGAGTTGGTTGAGCAAGGAACAGATCCTAAAATATAGACTAAAACTTCTTTAAACAGATTTGAATAAAAGAAATAGATACTTTAGAAATAAAAGTAGTTTTTTTACCAAAATTTCAACAGATGGATGATCTAAAGTTGGAAGAATATAGACATTTTCTGTTTGGAAATCACCTCTCTTTCCCGTTTTTTCATTAAGTCCTGTACACCATGTGGAGTTCAAAACATTTGTTCCATTTCCATTTTCCAAAATAATAAGATCTCCACGTTTCATACTCAAAATATTTTTATCATCTATAAACAAATTAAATACAATTAGATAACCATGTCTCTGTACTCAAAACATTATCATCATTAAAATAGCAAAAAAGATTTGGATTATATGCTAAAATAGCTAAGAAGATTTTAATTATATGCCAAATCATACGACAATGAAGTAAAACAAAGTAACACAATTTTTAGCAAAAAAACAAAACAAATATATTAAAAACAATATTCATTTGAAGATTTAATGTCAATTTTTTTTTTAATTTTTTTTTTTTTTTTTTGTACTTCACCTCCTCAAGGCCAAGAAGGCACTACAGATGAGGAGGCAACTTGTGATTATAACTCTCTCCCAACTCTATAACTCCAAAACACAAACCTTGACGAACAAGGCCGCTGCACAGAGTAACAAGTTGAGCGCGGTACTACTAGGGACATGGTGGGAATTGAACTCGGAACCTCTCGCTTATGAAGCGAGCGCTCTACCACTACACCACTACTGCATATTAAAAATAATTTTGTTCTTTCAAAAATTTAAGTTCTTTTTAATAATAAAAAGAACTTAAATTTTTGCATTTTAATTGAAAAAAAAAATTGAGGTTTTCAATCTGATATTTTATGCAATGGTTAAAAATTCCATAAAATGCTGCTCAAGTACATAGACCAAATACAGACCTAATGCTGAACTGAAAATGCTGACCAAATACAGACCTAATGCTGACCTGAAAATGCTCACCAAATACAGACCTAATATACAGACCTAATATAAATACTTAGCTTGAAAGCAATGAAGCAATAAAAAAAAAAAAAAAAAATGGATAAAAGACTAAAGTTTCGATGACAAATTTGGAAAAAAGGATAAAAGAAAAATAAAGCCTTCAAAGTTATATTTTTAAACAAAAAGTTTACATCTTGTAGATTTCTTGTCAAAAAGAGAATGAAAATAATATTTACATAGATGCAAATAATATTTATAATCATCATAACAAAGAAACTTGTAAACTCTTTATTAGTTCTGATACAAATACAGAACGCAGCATTGTTGATTTTAATACTGAAAATAGACATGATTTTGTTGTTGCTTTTTTGTACCATATAGTCTTTTATTATATGAACATAAAAAATATAATTTTATTGCTTTAACTAATATCAATTTTCTACTTTTATCACTTTTTTAGACCAGCAAATTATAAATTTTCAAATTTCAGCTCATTCAAATTTCAGCTTTAGAAATGTGGAATTACAGAGTTTACTAACTTTTAAGATTGTTTTCTTGTCTATAAAAAAACTTGCTTTTATAGTAACAAGCAACGATTTATATTGCACTATTTTTTTGTGTGAAATTTTTAAGTATGTGAAATGTTTACTAAAAATAAAAAATGCAACCAAAAAGAATTATAAAAAGCACAAGTTTATTTTGAACGATTCAATGAATATATTTATTTTGATTCAAATTAAATTCAACAATTCATCAAAAAAAACAAAAAAACAATTCAATCAAAAGTTCAGATTACTTGATTATTTATTGGCACTAGCATATTAATTATTTGATGTTACTTCATAATTGATAAAATAGTTGTTAACAATACTTGTGTGCTTGAATATCTTTGTCAAATTTACATTTTGTTTTTACAAATTTAACTGTTTTTTTTTCAATTCAAAAAGCTATTGAGAGTTTGTATTGAATAACTTGTATTGTTGTTGTTATACATTTTTGAATAGTTTGTCTGCATTTCGATCCCAGAATCCTTAGTTTTAATTTATTCAATATGTGTGACGAAAGCCAAACAGTACCCTATTTTAGTGAAATTCAGTGAAAAACGAAAGCCAAACAGTACCCTATTTTAGTGAAATTCAGTGAAAATTTCCTTTAGTGAATTTCAAATAAGATCTTTTATTTTACATTAATGGCTTAATGCATAACAAATAAAAAATTTAAAAAGTCTAATTTAATATGTTGTCTAATTTGACATGATTTTACTATTTCTAGTTTTTAAAATACAAATGTTTTGAAGTTTTTTAAAATACAAGTGTTTTAAGGCATGTATGTATGTATAATAAATAAATTAAAAAAAAAGAAGTATGCACATTATAAAGCATGTGGCTGACACATGCTTTATAATGTGCATATAAATATTTTACCAAATCTTTTTCAAAACTTTTAAATTATAATAATATTTTTATTGTAGGAAAAAAAAACACATGAAATATTATATACAACAATAATTATATAATTAATAATCATATAATATACAATACAAATAAATAATTATATAATATAAACACAAAAAATTACATACTTGTTGGATTCTCGCGAATTGCTACAACATATTTTGATCTCTCTTTTAAACCGTCTAAAAAGTAGGTAATCAACTCTTGAATGTCTTCAGAATTTGCTGAAGTAAATGTATATTCTAAACCTTTCACTGTTGATAAAGTAAAACTTTGACCACCTGGAGATTTTTCACTAAAAAATTGTCTTAAGCTATTTTAATGTATAGTTTTTAATTATTTTAATAAATACTACATTATTCATATATTTGTATACTTTATATTTACTGTACTATTATTACCTATGCCATATTTATTTTTACTTTATTTAATTATGAATATTAATACAATAAGAAATATATAATAATGCTAACTAACAGTAACAACAGTAGAAACAATAAATTCACAATAATAACAAAAATTATAACAAATGCAAATATATTTAAAAGCTTTAATTATAAATAATAAAAATAAATTAAATAGTTTTTAATGCATTAATAAAATTTTTATTCAACTTTTTTTTAAATCTCTTAAACTTTTACAAAAAACTTTTGTTACGTAAACTTTATTTTCTGCTTATTTTTGATTACACTAAATTGTAAATGATACAAATATTTAACAGAAAATTGTACCAGTATTTGATGTTTGTTTGTTTTTGTATTTTCTGACAAAACCAAAAAAAGTAGCTTTTTTATTTAAATTTATTCTTACAAAATATTTTGTTGCCTTTTGTTGCACTTAGGCTGGTTGCACTAAGGCTGGTTTTAATAATCAAAAATTTTAATTGTGTTTGTAATTGTCCTATTGGTAGCAGCTTTTTGGAATAAAACTCACATCCCTATATATACAACCAAAATTTTGTGCCATATCAAAATCAAAAATACTCCATGAAAAGTGGATTAAATTGAAGAAAAATGCTAACAGAAAGACTGAAACTCATCAAAAAAATGAGACAGAGTTTGTAGTTGACCATGATAATTTGATTGCACATTTGAAATGCATTAAATATAATCAAATTTTAAAAGGATAAAGACTTTCTTCAAAATAAGAAAGGCTGTTGTGGTTGTACCAGTTTGCACTTCAAAAGACTAAAAAGATTTTTAGATATTTAAAACAGAAAGTAAGAAAATTTAGAATTCATGAAACTTTATCAAAACATTGTGACAAAAAAAGAAGATTTACAAGTCATGAAGCTTTATAAAAACATTGTGACAAAGAAAGGTGGAGCTTTATGCAGCTGAAGTAAAATTTTTCTAGAGAAATAGGAAAACTATTTTATAAAAATAATCAGGAATGACAATAAATTTTATGACACCAAGTATGGCTGTAGCATTGGATAGGAAAACAACTTACATATTAGCCGATGCAGCTCAGAGTCTAGGATACAGTGGCAGCTCAGAGTCTAGGATACAGTGGCAGCTCAGAGTCTAGGATACAGTGTAGATAAAAATCTCCATAAAGTGCGAATTGAAAATGAAGAAATTGACTCACATAGAACTACAGAGATGATGTCATTAAACAAGCAGCAGTTTGAACAAGCAGCAGTTTGAAAACAACCAGCCTAGGGATGATTATTGTGAATTTCTGGACTTATGTAATATTTTTCATGGTGGTACTGCTTGTGGAATAAAGTTTATGCCTTCTCAGGCCATGCAATGCTAGGATAATGTTTGATCTGCATTTTTGACCCTCCAAAGAGGATACAGCTAAATTTTGAGAAACATGTCACAAAGAGCATAGAAAATTTTAAAAAACTTGTGTCCTTTCATTCCTTGGAAAATATTAACTAATACTTTTAAACATAAAATAACATTACACAACAAGAGATTTTAAGAAAAATAAAACTTACCCTCCACTTGTTACTGCAAAAAGTTCAGGAAAAGAGCACTCAACCAAAACTCTCTCCTCCGAATCAACAATATAAACACCAATCCAGTTTACAGCTATAATAACATCATCTCGAGGAAGAACTGGTCCAGAAAAGCGACGAGCTTCATAAAACCGTGAAAATAATAAAGGCCATCGAAACTTTGCATGAAGCACTATATCTTCTTTTATAGATTTTGGGTCACGTGGGTCACCTTCTTTTTCAAGGTGATATGGCTAACAAAATTTACAAAAATGAAAAAAATTAATTTTAATTCTAGAAACTATTAAACTGGATAATAAAATAAAACTTACTGATATACTTCCTTCTTTTATTCCAGCCATTATCTTGTTATATCTTTCATTAACACGCTTAACTAACTGAAGATTAATACAATATTACATAAAACAAGATAAACAACAGCAAAACAGTAAGGCAAAAATTAAAAATAAAAGTTAGATATACAAGCAACAAAACAATAATACAAAAAGCAAAATAAACAACATAAGAAAACAACAAAATGAAGATTGTGCAAAAACATTGAACAAATTGAAATAGATGATTGTGCACAAACATTGACGCAAACAGTAGATAATTGTGCTGCTGTTTGTCTCACTGTTTGCATTATTGTTTGAGCTGCCATGTTATACCTAATCTATGAAAATTTTGCGTAACAATTAATTTCTAATTAGGAGAAACTTGTAATTAACTTGTAATAAATAATTAATTACATAAATAATTGCTATTATTATTTAACATAAATAATTATTTACATCAAATAAGTTAAACTCAAAAGTTTTGTTTTATAAGTTTGTTACTAATCTGTGTATTACAAAGCAGATTACTATTTTACATATAACTTTTATCATATTATCATACTTCAATTAGTATTAGATTAGTTAAAAAACATTTTTAGCCTGCCAAGAAACAGGATATTATAGGAATAGGATCATCATAATTACATTGTTAATAGTAACAGATAATCCAATATAGCCTGTCATATGTTCTGCTGCTACTTAAAACTTTTCTAGGCAACTGCATAAAACACTGATGCGACTTGCTGGTTGAGTAAAGGCTAGAGATCATTCTAAAAAAAAAAAACACACACACATCCTGGGTAAATGTTAATTATATCTGGATATGGTCTTAAAATAGCCTCAAAGAGAAATCTATGCAAACCAATGTTACATTGTTTCCTGTCTAGGATGATGAATGCTGAATCTTTTAACTTTGCTCATATAACATTGCTTGTTAAGCATGGTTGCTTGTACCTCCTTGGTAGTAGCAATGCAATTCTTTCTGCTATCTCAATATGAGAGCACAGCTCTAAAGCTCAGTGTAATGATTCTGAGGCCAGCTGGTAGTGGGTTTCCTCAACTCTATAGTAGCACTTAAAGGAGCTGATTCCATCACCATCTGTTAAATATCAGAGTATGGACAGTCTTGTCTTGTAAAACTAATTTTAATTTATCTTGATATTCTTGAATCTTGATAATTTTGATTAATTGATAATTTTTCAATAAAACTTAAAAAAATTTATTGAAATGTTGGTTTTATTGAAATATTATTTATGAGCTCTAAGATTTGAACTTAAAAAAAAAAAAATTTAGATTAAAGTCCTATTTAAAAGATTTAAGACAACGTGTCTTTGATAAGTTTGGACTTTTCCAAAAGTTATTTGTAATTAATAACTTCAAAGAAGGTGTTCCAGTATCATTTATTTACCAATATATCAAGCGATGGGGAAATGATCTGCAATCTGGTAATTATATCAAGCAATGAGGATCTGCGATCTGTTAAATATAACAAAGAGACAAGTGTCAACATTGAAATGCTAAAAATCATTCAGAAATAATTCAAGGAAATTTAGAGATAAAGCAAGTGATATTTAATTTTAAAAGTATTCTCAATACTTTAAAATCATATGTTACTTACATGGGTACATACTTATGTACCAATGTATTTGCCATGAAATAACGTTTGATTAACACCATTTTAATCAATTTTTTACTCAATTTACTTCTCTACATCAGATTCAACAACTACATCTACAACTACAACTACAAATATATCAGATTCAACAACCTAAAAAAAAGTGAGAAATTTTTACCTCAGGGTGGTATATGTCATACTCTTAGTGAAGAATAATTTTCTACATTCTAAATTTCTAAATTCTTTTAATTATATTAAAAATAATTATTTTTCATACAACTTTCTATCTTAAAAGAATAATTTTCTACCTTATGGTATATTTTTTTAACTTAAAAGGTAGAAAATTATACCCTACTACTATATATCAAATATCCTACTTTAAGGTAGAAATTTTTCCTTATTTTAGAGTGTACCATCACACTTCATACAACTAGCTTAAAGGCTTTTTACTGATTTTTTTTGTTGATGGCAAATAAAAATGTATATTGGTAAATAAATGATACTGGATTATTTATTACAAATAACTTTTTCTTTTGTCCAAGCATGTCAAAGACACGTCGCCTGTCTAACTTGAAATCTTTTAAATTGGACATTTTAATCTAAAATCTTTATATTTCTTGTATTCAGGCAGGTATAGAAGCATTTTTTGAACTACCTGCAAAAACTACTTGCAACAAACCTCTTATTTACTAAAAATACTAAAAAAACTGCTGATAAAACTTCCAACTTCTTCTTTCATTACTAAAGATTTTCTCAAAAAAGTAATCAGTATTTTTTTTAAGATTTTGGTCAATAAACTTTAAAAAATATTAAAAACCTGAGAATGATAGTTTTGTATTAGGCTTAACCATGATTCCTTTGATTTTGGTGCAAGCATGTGATCAGGAATATAAGATGGAAGAAGTTCAAGTACTCGTTCTCGCTTGAATTCTTTTGTGTATTCAATATAGTATTGTTGAGATGCAATATCTGCATAATTTTCTCTCTAAAATGTGTTTAAAAATAAATATATCTGCATAATTTTTTCTCTAAAATATATTTATAAATAAATGTTCTCCATATGCTTAAAATTAAATAATTGCTTAAAATAGAAACATGTATTACTAAAAATAAAAAATAAAAATAAAAACATGAAAAAAATAATCCAATTTTCTTTTTTTTAAAAACATGTCACTACTTTTTTTCTAGTGAACCAAAACTTAATAGAGTACATAGAAGACTGGATGCTTCTACTATAATTCAATGCAATCTAAATTTTTGCAAAGTCATACATTATATGTTGATGGTGAGGGGTATCATTATTGCAAAAAATTTGTAATTTTATTACATAAAAACTTCTTAACAAAATAAAAAAACCATTTTATTCATAGTTGATTATGTTTTTGACTCAGGCATACTTAAAAAAAAAAAAGAACTTTTAGTGGATAATATTAGGAACCCATCAAATTTTTTATTTTATTAAAACCTTTTTCAAATTAGTTTAATTTCACAATATATAAATTTAAATATTAATTTTACTACAATCTAAATATATATAAACAAATATAAAAGTATATACTATGCTAATAAGTACTCCCCCCATACAAAAAAAAAAAAAAAAAATTACCACATTATACTTGTATTCACCAAATTTGACACCACGACAAATTTGTTGATAAATAAGATTTGTACCAACAATGTCAATAATTGGATTGTGCCACGGTGAAAAGATCTCTTTCCTAAAAAACAACCTCCATGGAGCGTTTTGCTCTTTGGCACCTTGTTCTTTAGCATACTGCTCACATTGTGAAATCGCATCCATGACATGATCATTTCCACTTCCAAGACTCGAAACCTATAAAGATATCATAGATTAAGATGTCAGCATCAATATTTATTATTAATGTGGGGAAAAAAATCATTTCAAAGTAAATTAAAAAAAAAGAAAAGGTTTACTCACAATTAAGCATATTTAAACTTAATTATCTAGCTTTATCAAAAAAAAATTTTTTTCCATTAACACATTTTTATTTTTGAAAAAAGTCATGGCTATACTATATTTCCTAACAACATAACAAAACAAAAACTGAAACAATTAAAAGATAATTTTTGGCTCACCTTATCAAAAAGTGCAATATATAAAGAGAAGCCAAACTGATCTTGAAGCCCAATCTTGCAAGCTAGTTCTTCACATAGCTCTTTTGATGTGGTTGCAGAATCAGCAAGAAGAGTTTTTGTATTTCCATCCATAAATGTAATTGGAAGCATTAGAAACCTCTTAAACTTGACTGCCTATATATATATATGAAAAAAAAAATTTTCTTAATAAAATAGTAACAAAATGAGAAAATTTTTTTTAATTCTAATTCTTTTTTTAAATTTTTATTGATTTGAATTTTTTAAAACAAATAATATAAATCCACATTTAACTCAACATTAAAGTCACCTATTTGTTAAGAAATCAGGTTTGAATCCTTTGACAATGTTTTTATGTGCTTCCACATAGCACCTCCTCACTCTATTACCTTTCTCTTTGTTCTTTATCAAGACTGCAGTCTTTTAGATGTAGTTTCTGATCAAATTGACCATACCCTTTTTCTTAACCCCTCTGCCAATGTTTTTGTTATTGGTAATTAAATAATGCTCATCACACTGAATGGCTTGGCTCAAGCACCACTGACCCTGCTGGGACTAAAACCAATGCATTTCTCAATCTCTTATTCTGATAGTTAACTTTGTGACTCATTTTCCAGACAACCCTAATCATTAATCAATCAATACCTAATCATCCTTTTCCTAAACCATTTCTCTAATCAATATTTTCCAGACAACCCTAACCACTTACCTTCACTCCTTGATTTGTGTCTTGTCTCTAACCCTAGCTTGTATTCAGTTTCTCTTTTTTCTCTTTCAGGTGGTTTCGACAGTGATCTCTAAAAACCTTTCATTTCATACTTCTTCTTCAGACTCACCCTATCATTCCACTACTTACTACGACTCCAAAGTTAACTAGGATTTTTTTCCTGATTTTCTTTGTTACAGGCCTTGGGCGATGTTTTCGTCTCTCTGCTGATAAATATAATAACTATGATTGAAATATTTTCTACTATCCTTAAGCTGACCATATTTTTTTTTTCTTTTTTTTGTAAAGGTCTGAAAGCTGATGTCATTCATCTCTCCCCTGATAAATGTGCCTCCTGCATAATCTCCTGGATCCAAGCAGGAATGGAAGCTTTTATTCTTTCTCAACAGTTCCAAGTTAAAACTCATTCTACTTCATGGTTTTCATCTTCTTGTGCAACTGCTATATCTAATTGTAATTTTTTTAATCTTTTTCAAAAGAACAACTCTCTCTACAATAAAGGTCTTTCTACTATTGCAAGAAATTAATGTAAAAAGGTACTGTCTGATCCTAAGCTCCATTATTCTCAGTTAACTATATCTCATACCTTATCTCAAAATATATAAGTTTATAAAATTTATAAACTTGCTTTATATGGTGTATCTAGAAAAGTTTTTGAGATTATCAAATCTTTTCTTTCTAACCACCTTATTGAAGTCCTCCTTGAAAACCAACAACTGTCTTCATTTCGAGTAACTTCTGGGGTACCTCAAGGTTCTATCCTTGGTCCTATTTTGTTTCTTATTCCTGACAAATTTACGTCTTAAGTGGCTCCATTTGTTGATGAATCAATTTTATACTCCTAAAAATCTTTCCTTTTTGATCGCTTAGAATAGGCAGCTGATCTTGAATCTGATCTCACTTCTGTAACAATAACTCTTAACCTATTAGTGGTTGCTTGCAGCTGTGTTGGGAGTAAATCAGAATTAAAGTAATAATAATAATAATAGTGCAGTCAATAATACCGCAATCAATAATGTAAAAAGAGGAATAGTAGTATGGCTGTACTTGTACAACCTTACTACTAAGTCTGAGGTTGCATATGTCAAAATTTAGGCATCACATACACACATATACAAATAAACACGCTGATATATAAAAAAATAGAAAACCTGCAGCTCTAGCCAACTTGGTGGTTGAGAACGTGTTCCATTTTGCATAGTTCGTTGAAGTCGTTTAGCACAATATTTTCTAGTAGATTCAGGACCATTTTCAATAAAGTTCAATAAGTATTTGGAAAACTAAATATATATATATATATATATATATATATATATATATATATATATATATATACACATATATATATATACATATATACATATATATATATATATATATGTATATATGTATATATATATATGTATATATATATATATATATATATATATATATATATATATATATATATATATATATATATATATATATATATATATATATATATATATATATATATATATATATATATATATATATATATATATAAACGTACAAATTGCCCTTGGAATTTAAAAAAATAAGACCAAATTGCTAAATTAAAAATTTATAATTGAAAAAATAGTCAGCAGACACTTTTAGCAATTAAATCATTGTAAAACAGTAACTTTAATTCCGAGGACTTTATACATACATAACATGTATAAAGTCCTTATACATACATAACATAATACAAAGTCTGACAATCATCAAGATCATATGATTATTTGACAAATAGACTGATTTAATTTAGTGTTGTTACAACTATTAAATAATTCAAAAGTCGACTAAAAGTTGATTTAGTTAAAATATGGGAATAAAAATCATTTTCAAATAAACTGTCATAAAAATAAAAAAGTAATTTATACTTGTTTTCTATTTTTTAATACAATATCATTTAAAAATTAATAGAGCGTAACAATATAAGAGAAGGGCTGTTCCAACAACAGGACAATTTATTTACAGACCCCAACGATTTAAGGACTGCCTTAAATACTTGCTATAAATCAAATCCTTAAAATGATGTTTACAATGTGATTATCGGTTCATCAATTTTCTTTTTAATAGATAAAGATCTGAGGTAATTTTGAATTACCTCAGATCTTTATCTATCAAAAGGAAATAAAAAGAGATAAATAACAAAAATAACAAAAATAAATCACGAATCTACCTCAATAAGAAAGTCATATTCCAGCTTTATTATTCATTTATACATAGTTAATTAAATTATGTTATTATTAAGGGAGTACAGGAAAAAGTAAGCTGCAATGTCTTTATCTACGTTAGAAACATGCAATCCGTTTAATCAATTTTACAAATCACTTCTCTCATTCAAAGCATTATTTTATTGAAATAAAAATTCTATATATATACGAGCTAATGTATTTAATATTTTATGCTTTGTATATATAAATAACTTATCCCTAGTCCTTTTTGAAGATCTTTTTATTTTTAAACTAATCAGTAAATATATTTTGAGAAATAATAACTTTTTAAATAGAACTTTTTGTCAAACAAACTTTAATCAATTTTGTAATACCTATTGAGCGCCAAACTCGGCAAAACAATTTTATTCCAAAGGTGTGGGACCTTTGGAATAAAATTGTTTTGCCGAATTTTAATTTCGAAGTGAAAACAACTGAAAAACCTCATTCTTTCATTAGATAATATATTGAGTTATTAATAGTAGTAAAGTTAAAAAAATATTTTGGTCTACTTTTTTACCCCTTGATGATTTTTCAATAAAAACAATTTTTTATATGTTTAAATTTACATTTTTGACCTAAATTTTTTTTATTTTTAATTTTGAATTTATATCAAAAATCATTTTTATAACAAGAAAATAATATTCTTATACTTTAAACAAAAACTATCCAAAAAAAAAAATTAGAAAAAGTCAAAAAAGTGTATCACCCCCTAATCATTTTTTAACTTTTCTGCTGTATAAATTAGTAAAATTACAGCCAAAAAAGTAAAAAAGTCAAAAACAAACAAATTTGATTGATAGAAGTTATTCTGACTAATTTTTTAGCAACTTTTTTTTTTTTTTAGGTTCTTAATAAAAAAATCATGGTGAAAAGATATGAAATTCATGAATCAGTAAAAGAACTGATCCTGGGACACTATAAAAGTGAAAAAGGATATAAAAATATTTCTAAAATAGTAAATGTTAAGCCTAATAATGTAGGAAATATCATTAGAAAATATAAAAAAATGGGTACTGTAAAAAATTTGACTAGAAAAGGACGCCCGGCTAAGACTTACCTTACGAATTGATAGAGAAATTATTCGAAAAGTTGAACAAAATCAAGAATTATCTGCACGAAAGCTTGCAAAAGATTTACAAACATGGTATAACTCATCAAAGTTAGCTACTCAGTGGTTAAAAAAAAACAGTATTAAGATGTTAGATTGGGCTTCTCAGTCACCAGACCTAAATACGATTGAAAATTTATGGAATCTTTTTAAAATTAAAATAGCTAATCAAAAACCATCCAGTGTGTCAAAATTAAAGGCAATTCTTATTGAGGAGTGTGAAAAATTTGACCCACAATGGCTTAAAAACTTAGTAAATTCAATGCCTAAAAGATAGCTTGCAAAAGGCGCACAAATAGACTATTAATTTTATATTCGCAAAATAATTATTTTTAAGGTGATACAATTTTTTGACTTACACTTTTTCTAATTTTTTGTTTTAAGTAAAAGAATATTAGTTTCTTGTTATAAAAATGTTTTTTTGATTTAAATTCATTATTAAAAAAAAAAAAAAAATTGATGTCAAAAATCTTAACTTAAGCATATAAAAATTTATTTTTATTGAAAAATCATCAGGGGGTGATAGACTTTTTTGACATGTCTACATTTATTGAAGTTTCCTTTTTATTTTATTTATTGTTCTTATACTTATTTAAGCTTATTTAAGGTTCTGACGAAAAGGCACTTTTTTCCTTGTTTATATTTGTTATATTTTTTATCACTGTGAGTTTATATTACTATTATTATTGTTATTTTTATAGAGGTGTACAACAACCAAAAAATGAAAAAAAAAAGAAGAAAAAATAAATATCATTGAATATTTGGCAGCCGAATATTTGTTGCTTCTGCTAGATTCTTTTCTCTTTTGGCTGAGATTCTAGGCAAATATTTTGTATTTGGTATTTTCAGCACAATCACTATTCATGACATCTCTTGTTAAAATAGTACATGTAGTACAATAGTACATACAATAGTTATAAAGTATGGTTTTATAACTATTGATGTCAGATCATGGTACATACAGTAAAATATGGTTTTATAACTATTGATGGCTGATCATGGTACATACAATAAAACATGGTTTTATAACTATTGATGTCAGATCATGGTACATACAATAAAACATGGTTTTATAACTATTGATGTCAGATCATGGTACATACAATAAAACATGGTTTTATAACTATTGATGGCTGATCATGGTACATACAATAAAACATGGTTTTATAACTATTGATGGCTGATCATGGTACATACAATAAGTCTTTAGCCAATTTAGTCAAAGTTGATAACAACATTTATTAAACAACATTTAATTAGATTGGAAAACAATTAAATCAGATTGAATCACAATTTTATATGATCAGATCGGAAAACAAATTAAAAAAACTATAATAAACACAATTTTATGTGATCAAATCTAAAAACAACCAAAACTATAATAAACACACTTGATTGTTAGAACATCAGATTGTGTTTAAAACCTTTAATATTATTGAAGACTAACAATAAAAACAAAACAATAAGAAAACATTAAAATGATTAAATACAATTTCTGATGGAGCAAAACATCCTAAACACAATGACAACAAGACCCAGCCTCTTGTATAACTTGATTTATTTTGACTTTTTGTTAACTGCTTACAAAGTTGACAATAAATTTCATCCCTAAAAGAAAATTTAATAACATTTAAAAAAAATTTCAAAATATTTCTACTTTTACAAAAATGTTCATTTAAAAATTTTAAATATGAAAATATTTTTATGATTTAGATCTGGTCTTACAATTGCATGACCAATAATAAAATATATTTATTACCTTAGATCTGGTCTTACAATTGCATGACCAATAATAAAATATATTTATTACCTTAGATCTGGTCTTACAATTGCATGACCAACAATAAAATGAAGCTTATCCAGGTTAGTAGTAGGTCTATCTTCAGGTTGAAGTGCAGCCATATTATCAAGATTCTGATCACCATTCTCTGATAAACGGTTGGCTACTTCCTAAAGAATACACAACAATAGTTGGTTAACATCATACTTATTAATAAATATCAATAAAAAATATAAAGAATTTATAAAATACTTTTGTGATCTTGGATTTTTTCTTTAAAGTCATTGAAGCAATTCTTCTTCTTAAAGTTTCTCGCTTGACACCATTTTTAGCATTTTCTTCACTTGAAGCTACACCAAGATGTTGAAGATTTCCCCGATTTGTTCCAAGTCGACCAACAGTATCATATATTTTATTCATCACAGGTGTATTATCATATTTGCTTCCATACTTTGGATCTTGCATATCTCCCATAAATCGCAGTATGGTAATCCACACTGCTAATGCTGCCTAAAAAACACAGTAAAAACATAAATAAAAAAATTAGTTGCTTTTCCTACAGTATACTCTAATATAATTTAAGATATATTAACTTTCAATTCAGCGAATTATGCAAAAAATGTTTTATTTTAAGTTACACTTTTATATCATATTAAAAATTAAATTGAATTGAATACCAGTTGATCAGCCTTTTCTTCATGCATCAGTAATGGTTTTTCCAATGCTTTTGTTTGAAACTCATATGTATTTTGACCAGAAAAATACATAGTAGCAAATTTTTTGAAAGTATATTCATGCAAATCTTCAGTTTTTTCAACTGAAGTTATGACATCACTTTCACTAAAGTGGAACTGATCTTGAGGTACAGCAAGATTTCCGAATGCTGTTGGAGCTTGCCCTACCTGCTTGCTATCACTACCAGGAAGAAATCCAAAAATTTGATCTACTACTTCTGAATCATCAATATCAACTTCCTTTTTGTTTCTTGCACGCTCCTCTGCTTGGTTAATGACATTTTTCTTTACTTCTAAAGCCTCTTTCTCCTTTATCATTTCTTGCTCTAATTGCTTCTTCAAAATCAATGCACGTTCCTAAAATCATTATTATAACAATACAATGGAAAAGTATACAAACTATAAATAATTATGATAAAAATGTATACAGTCAGGGTCTATTCTAGGATAACGCTATTGAAAACAGTCTAGAATAGCCCCTGACAGTGGAAGAGTATATTTTTTTTAAGTATACGTTTATGTATTTATAGTATATAATGCACATACTGCAAATACAACAACTAAAAAATTTGTAATTTTTTCGTTTTCATCTTTTTACTTTTTATATGAAATTGTCTAAACTTAAGTCACCATTTTAAAAATTAAATATATTTATAATATATATAAACAATTTATAATATAATTCATTTCTTAAAACAATCTTAATTAATTTGTTTATGCATTTAATCTAATATTAAAAATATTAGATTAAATGCATAAACAAATCTTTTTTATGCATTTAATCTAATATTTTTAATAAAAATAATAAACAACTTATAGATAGATTTTATCAGTTATTAAAATTTTGTTTATTATTTTTTTTTAATTGAAAGTTTATATATATATATATATATATATATATATATATATATATATATATATATATATATATATATATATATATATATATATATATATATATATATATATATATATATATATATATATACATATATATATATATATATATATATATATATATATATATATATATATATATATATATATATATATATATATATTTATATTTGACGAAGGTTATAGGGACAAACTATGTCCCTATAACCTTCGTCAAGTCGACACTTTTCATGTCGACAGATTTCCTGTCGACTTAACGTTTGAATGAATTTTAGTAATGATTAGTTCAATGGAAATTTAAAAAAAACGATACCATTGCAATGTCTAAATTACACTAGATTATATAGATTATATATCTAAATTATAAGAGATTTCTATGAAAAACATTAACAAAAAAAACGCAGAAAACTATAAACAATAACATTTTTTAAAAGCGCGTATGTTTACTCGTGTTACATATACGATCAATAGGTTGATAGTTAAGAGATTGCATTTTTTGATTGAAATATAAAGATATATTTATTATAATTTTTGTTTAAAATATAGATAAACTATTTAGTTAAAATAATAAACGACCAGTTTAAAAAAAAAATTAACATTTAGACATTATATAATATGTTATTTTTCAACTATAGGTAGACTTATTCTACTCGTAAATCTTGCATCAAGTCAACAATAATAAATATATAGACTTGTATTTTAATATTTCTATGTTTTTATAAACTTTTTTAATATAAATATATGTAAAAATGACAAATAAACTTTAAAATATGTGTATAAAATTTATTTTATACTATTTCTATGACGTCAAGTTGAAATATACGTGCATGCGTTAAAATCGCTTAGTCAACAAATTTTCTATTTCTTTTTAAAAAAGCATTTAATTGATCACTTAAATTTTTTTTTCTATACAAATACTTAATCTACGCAAAATCTGTTAGTGAAAAATGAATTAAAAAAGAAAATTTTTTATGTCGACTTATGGTGTAAAAAATAATTGCTGTCAACTTTTATATATAAGCCTGGGTCTACCAGGCTTATATATATATATATATATATATATATATATATATATATATATATATATATATATATATATATATATATATATATATATATATATATATATATATATAAACTTTCAATTAAAAAAAAATTAATAAAAAATTACAAATTTTAACCTGAGCAGCCCTCTCTGCTTGCAATGCAGCTTCTTGAGATCCAAGTTTAAGTCGAAGTCGAGCCTCTTCTTCTCTTCTTACTTTTTCAGATTCTTTTTTAATCATTAACTTGAAAAAATATCATTATATTTTATTATTTAAAGTGTAAACAATTACTCTGTAGCAATTACTTATGTAATCTGTAAACAATTACTTATGCAGAGTTGTACTCTGTACAACTCTACATAAAAATTTCTTTAATATCTAACAGAATATAAAAAATACCAAACTTTGAACCTACTTCATATTGTAACCTCAAACGAGTTTTTTTTGCAAGGAGCATTCTGAATCCAGATTGAATTGTAATAACAGCACCTAGTTTGATCTTGTATTCTCTACGTGCTAAATAACCACGACATAAAGATTGAAATTCAATTATTTTTAATCGAGTTGCTTTATATGATGCCGCTATTTTTTTACTTTTAACCATTGCTTGTAATCTTTCAAATCCATAACACATCTAAATTATATTGCTAATTAGAACAAAAGTAATTTTAAAAATAAAAGAATATAAGAAAAAAATAAATAAAAACATTTATACTTAAAATAATAATAATAATAATAACAATAAAAAAAACCTTGCGATATCTAATTTTTCCTAATAAAGCTCGCCAATGCTTCTGAATAACAATGCAGCTGCTGCGAAGTTTTAAATATTTTTTTCTTTGTAAAGTTCCACGGAAAGTTTTTTGAATTAGTGTAACGCTTGCTGTTATTACATATTCACGCTTCAACTCCAATTCTTGGTCTTGTAAATCCTTAAATTACAGCAATGGCATAATGAATGAAAAACAAGTTTTTTCTGTTTTATCTTAAACAATCAGACACTTATCTTCACATCAACATCTTTTTAAAAAACTTTTACTTTATTAATTTAATTCTTCAAAAAACTTAAAATAATACATTTAATAGAAACTAAAAGCCTTAAAATAATACATTTAATAGAAACTAAAAGCCTTAAAAAAGAATAAAGATGAATTTCAATAAGAAAGTATAGTTTAAAAAAAAAAAAAATTTTAATGTTTTTTGTGATTTTTTTAAACATACTGCTTTCATCTCTCCAAGGTCAATTAAGATAATTTGGAAAAAAAAAGGGGGTCATTAGAGTTAAAGAGACTATTATTTTTTATTTTTTTATTTTTGTCACAACCTAACCTAAACTTTATAACTCCAAAACCTAAACTTTAGCACACTAAAACATAATTTTTAACAGACTAAAACCTAATTGTTAGCACACTAAAACCTAATCTTTAGCACACTAAAACCTAATCTTTAGCACACTAATACATCATTTTTAACAGACTAAAACATAATTTTTAATCTTTAGCATACTAAAACCTAATCTTTAGCATACTAAAACCTAAAATCTTTAGTACTCAAATGCTTGTGTATATGTTATTTATTTATTGTGTATACATGTTATTTAAATGTACAAAATAAACATATATATATATATGAACCTTTAAGAATACTTTTGTGCGACCTAATTGCCAATCTCCATCAGAAAGAGCATTAGCAGCAATAACACGTGAAGCTTCCTTGAGGTTATTTTGTAAAGTTCTAATGTTTCTTACAAGCATGTAATATCGATTTACAAATGCTTCAAAAGTATGGCGAATTGGATAACCAGCACGTCTTATCCTTAAACAAAAATACATTCTAATAATTAGTTACAGTTACAAAACAATATATTTTGTAAAAATTGAAATATATTTTTTAAAAAACTTGTTATAGCAAATAATAAACTTCTTTTTTTAATAAATAAACTTTATGAAAAAAAGTCGAATCTGTGTATTGGTAAACCTGTGCAATGGTAATTTTGGACAAAAGAAAAGATTTTTTAAAAAAACTTTTCTTTTGTCCAAAATTACCAATACACAGATTTACTTTTTAAAATATAAAAGAAACATACACATTTTTTACAGCAATTTCTTGGTTTTAAATACAATATTGAAAAAACAGCACTTATTCATAAGTTTATAAACATAAAAAGTTTTTCTGTTTCCAGAATTTTTCATGGGTAATTTTTTATTTTTTTGTTTTTTTTTATTTTTATTTCAATAATAACTCAACTTTTTTTTAATTTTTTTTTTTGCAAATTTTGACCATAATAGATATCATTCATATTTAGATATTAACTTCTAAAACCTAATTTTAGTCCTAATATTTGCGAAAACCCCCTTTTTTATATAAATTTTATATTACATAAAAAAACTATAAAAATGTGTTACAAAAATTTTGATAAATTAAGAAAATTTTACCGAATCGTCTCCATCATTCCTGAGTATCTTAACTGTCTGACACATAACTCTCTATCAAACATCTGAAAAATTGATTTAAAAAAATAAGAAGTTGGAAACTTATTCAATCCTAATCATAAAAAAACAAACAAAAAAGATGAAAAAATCCATAACAAACACAGTAATTTAAAACATAACTAACCAACGGTTTTTTAAAGTCGTTTGGTTTTATGCATCGCACAAAAAATGGGTGACATTGATTTAGAGTCAACATTAACAAGTCTAGTGACTTCTTAAATTGATTTCCTAGAGTTGGCGATCGTTTTCGTGTTTCTTCACCCTACACATACAAATTTAAAAACACAACAAAAATTTAAAAAGTTAAAAATTTATTCAAAAAATTTTATTAAATAATTGATCTAAACAATTTAAAATTATTAGTTTATTTAAAATATTAATGAAAGTCAAAAATTAAAAGAGTTTTTAGTAAACATTTTTCCAGTGGAAAATTTTTTTCACGCTATTTATGACTTTATTATATTTCCTTTAAATAGTTATTATTATTATTTTTTTTTATATTTGAAATAAGTTTCATTTAAGTTAAGATAAATAGAAAATTATTATCTTTCCAGAAAATATTATACCAAATAGTTACTATAGATACCAAATAGTTATGATAGATTTAATATTGTAAATATTATAATAATTGAATATTATACAATTATTATTGTCATTATTATACAATTGCAACAAGAAAACCAAAACTCAATAAAATGAAACATACCATTTTCAGTTCTTTATCAAATAGGTGAAGCAAAAATTTGGAGCCACTTTCAGCTATTACCTGGTTTAAATCAGCACTAAAGGTATCTCGATTTTTTTCAAGGATGCCTAATAGAAAAGTCTTTTCATTCAATTATTGAATTCAAAAAAGTCTCTAATTCAAAAATAGATTTAAAATAAGATTTTTATAAAATCCACAATAATAAAAATAGCTTTAAAATTAAAAAAAACTTATATACTTATAAACTTATAGTTTAAATTTTTAACTTATAGTTTTATGGTTTAATGAATGACAATAACATCAGGCAATACTTTATAAAACTCTACTAACAATAAATTTCCTAATTAAATATGAAATTTTTCCACCTATTTGTCTGTTTTTTATTATTTTGTTTGTTAAAGTAAAATTAAATAATATCACTACTAAGCAACAGCCTCTCAGTTCTCAACAGTTCATTAAGCGTTTGTAACTTAACTTATAACTTCTCAGTCCTCCATCATTTAATCCTAAATTAGATCTTCTTATCTATCCTTATATGAAAATTGACCTAAAAAAATTAATGATCTTATTTCTGTGATGTAAAAAAAAAACAATTTTTTATTTAATGCCGTGTTTGTTTAAATTTAAACCATTTCATAAATCAAATGTTTAACTGTTCTTAAAAACAGTTTTTAAAATTTTTTTTATTTTTTTAAAATATTTTATGTAATATATAATTTATATTATCATTTTTATTGCTGCATTGAAAAATTATAATCATGCTGCACTAAATAAAATCAGCTACAATGTACTAAAATCACTAAACTTAATGCAAAAATCACAGTTACATAAAATGAATTCAAAAATCATATAGTTATATGAAACTGAATGCAAAAATCACAGTTATTTGAAATGAATGCAAAAATTGCGTAGTTATATGAAAATGAATGCAAAAATCACATCTAAATATAATTAGCGCAATGAATATTATTATTATTATTAGTGTTGTTTCACTTTCATTTTTAAGGTAGTTTCTAGACTTTTCTATGCGCGGTTATATATTCCACGCTGTCTTTCGAGCAAAGTCTTCAAGCAAATTAGAGCTGATATATTTTTAGTTTCATGAAGAAGTGATGTTGTTCATTGTTTAAAAACTTAAATAAAAACTTAAATAAAAACTTAAATAATTTTTTGTTTGTTGTTGGTTGTTTTTATTTTTCTAATTTTTATAACCTGTTTTTATTTTTTAGAAGAAGTTATAACTAAAATGACTGGTAAAATAGTGTTTTTTAGTACAATGTTTCTTTTTTAGTAAAGTGTTTCAGTTTTGTTGTTAGCCTTTTTAGAACATTTTAAGCAAATATTGTTTAATTTTTTAGAACAGTTAAGAGGAGCTGATAGCTTTTTTAGTAAGTTCAATTCATTTTCTTATTTATAGATTAAGATTATTTTTTTGTAGAAAGAATAAAGAGAATAAAATTTTATTTATGTATTTAATATGAAAAGTTAAATAGAATTAAGAATTAAGTTATTTTCACTGGATTTTATTGTTATGTGTTATTTTTGTAATGTTATTGTTGTGATGTTTTGTGTTGATAGACAGCTTGGCTTACCTTCCCGTTGGTGCCTATTGTTAAAAATGAATAATAGATAATTTCATTATTGAAACTTACTACTTTTATTTATTTGCTAAAAACTAAAACAACATTTTGCTAAAAGTGCAATTCATATCTTAGTTTGATTTTTTTTTTCAGTATTGTTAATCCTTTTGTACTTCAAAACAGATTTTATAGTTACATTTTCGATAAATGTTTATATTAACTGCAATTTCAAAATAAGTAACTATAAATAGGTAAATCAATTTTCAATTTTAATGTGGTATTTTTTTTTTTTTTTTTTAATTTTTTTGTAATTATGATATCATAATTCCATTACTTTTTATTTTAGATCTAAGTTATAACACATTTATAAGATTTTTAAAAAAAACCCTGATTTCCCTTTATTGTAAATTTTTGTTAGTTAAAAAGCTATAAATATATGCAATTTTTTAAATATATTTTAAGCCTAATAATTTGTTGTACGAATCTTAGGGGATCTTTGTAAACGGGGGGTCGTAACTAAAAAACTTTAAAAAAATGGAGAATACTGTAGTTTTGCGCATTTTACAAATATCAATTTACTTATGTTTTATTTACATGTTTAACTAATTAGTTAGCTTAGTCTGCATTTGCAACACTTTTGAAGAAAGAAAGAAAACATTCTTATATATGTAAATCATTGTTTTACATTTAATTATTTTGGTTAAAGGTTTTTATCAAAAACTTGATTACTCTTAATAAAAAAAACTCTACTCACCAGGCCACCACTAAAGCAAGAGGAGGGGAGGAACCTCTTTATTAGTGTCAAAATAATGAGGAATTTAAATTTCTAGTAACAAAAGGAATTTTTAGCAAATGGTAGCAAAATACCGTTTGCTAAAAATTAATGAAATAAAGAGGCCAAACAAATAATATAGAAATGGTCTGTGTTGAGCAGACTTAACATGACCCGGGTCCGATCAGCTTGGTTTACAAATTTTTATGTCTACTTATCTGTTACAATTTTTATTTTAGGTTTGTCATATGACGCATAAATCCAATTTAAAAGATCAAAGTTTTCATATTTTTTTAAATTTGTTATACACGTGTTTAATTGTAAATTAATTTTTTTTTGTTTGAAACGTATTTGTACTCAGCTGCTTAGTAGTTCCTGTATAATATAAGTTAATAAGTATCAACATCAATTTACTATAAGCCAAGACAATATATTTAGCTATATAAATGCAACTAATTTATATCTCAATTTGATTTTTTATCTTTAATGTTTATAGTTTGGCTCCTTGAAGCATTTTATATTTTGCTTTTTAATTTAAATATTTTAAATCTAATGTGATAACTTCTAAATTAAACTAAAGTTTACCAAAAGCCAACATTAAATAACGTCATTAAACAACATCGACAAGAACTGCTGCATCATGACAGCAACTGAAGTATGATAACAGGTTACCAAAAGCAGGTAAATTGTTTTCCAGTCATTCCTTTTTTTTTTTTTCTTTTTTATGCCTACTTTTTTTTAATGCCTTTTTTATGCCTTCTTATCTGTTACAATTTTTATTTTCGTTTTTTTCTCATATGACACAATATTTTATTACATAATAATTTGTTATGCACATGTTTGATTGTAAATTAATCTTTTTTTTTTTTTTTTTTGAAACGTATTTGTACTCAATTGCTTAGTTATTTATAATAAACTTAGTTATTTTGAATAAATTTATTTAGTTGTGTGCATTTAACGTTTTTAAGATAACAAATTTTTTTTTGTAAAGAAAAATTTATCAAGGGGATACCAAAAGTCAATAACTCCTGTATAATATAAGGTAACTTTATGTTAATCTTAATAATTAATTAAAGTTCATGTTATAAAAAATATTGCAAGAATTTAGTTGATATTTTTGTCAATTTAAAGAATGGTGAAGTGTTATTATTTTGCGTTGAACTTAGGAATGTCGATAAAAATGGTTCTGCCTTACACTGATATGACCTATGTCAGTTGTAAATTATTCCAATAATGTGTTAAATAATAATTGGTAAATTATTTTACCTCCTCATACTTTTTATATTAATTTTACAGATAGATTAATTTTTTCAATTTAAAGGCGTTTTTCTAAAAGGGTATTAGTTAAGAATTCGCAACTTTAAATTGTGGATAATAGCCACTATAAATTAAATATGTAACAGACTGACTATAACTCGTATTACGGGTTACTTTTTGCTAGTAGTTATATTGAACTGTATGCAAAAATCACATAGTTATAAAAAATGAATGCAAAAATCACACAGTTATATGAAGGGAATGTAAAAATCACATAGTTATAAGAAATGAATGCAAAAATCACACAATTATATGTAACTGAATGCAAAAATCATATAGTTATATTAAATGCATGCAAAAATTACATAGCAGCCCATGGAGTTAGGGCAGCATTTGACAATGCTGACCTAACAGCAGAGCTAAAGGTGTTTAAGGTCAGCAAATAATTGCCAACATCAATTTTATGTTTTATGGAAAGACCTTTGTGTCAAAAATTTTTTGTTGACCTGATGCCAACCTCTAAAAGTGTTTCCTCACTTTTCCTAATTTCAAGTCATCAGATGCCACTAAATTTGTGATTGTTTGCACTATAAAGTCTTTACTCTTTTTTAATGGTTGTTGTGACAACAATATTGTTTTCAGTTGACACCTTTCAATATATGCTACTGGTGCACTATTGTATACTATTATTACACTTTCTGCAAATATATTTTTATTTGTTACTTTTAATTCTTAAATCCAACAACTCTTTTTTAACCAGCTTACATCAGCCAACAGTTTAAGGTTTCACATTACTAACATTATTTTCATCCACACATGGTATTAGACTAATTACGTTTGCATAGAATGCTTAAAAAGATAATAAGGTGCTCCTTTCCCTTATTTAATTTAATGGTTATGGATTGTGCAGAAACTCTGAGTAGAGCATACTTTTCAATATATGCTTGATATTCAATTCATTTTTATTTTTTTATTTTTTAATGTATTAAAATCTAAAAAATTTTTAAACATTAAAAAAATTTTTAAACATTTAACAAGTACATAAAATGTACAAAATTAAATACCGTTTAAGGTGATATAATATTTAATCATCACCTGTCTTATTGCAACTTTATAAATAAAATTCGAAGAATATTCCTAGGAACCTAATATATAAATTATCAAAAAAAAAAAAATTGTAAGCAAACTTGCAAACTTTGTAAACATTTTTTTTTCTTTTAATTTCCCAAATAATTTTTTGCAACTTAAAAAAATCACTACACATTACCCACAGAACATCAAGAAATTTAATAAATTTAATAATTCAATAACTTGCTTCGTTTAAACATTTTTTATGTAGATTCATACAACAGTCCTCATAAAAAGGAACAAACCTTTAGCATTGTAAAATACTGAGCCAGCAAAATGAACAATTCCAAACATCCTAGCAGCACTTGACTTGTGAACAAGAAATGAAGGATGCTTATTGTGATTTTGGATTAACTTATTTAACATAGTTTCATCTGTACTCTAAAAAAAATTGTGAAAATTTCTACATTCTTAACTAGAAAAGTGAATATCTCAACTAGAAAAGTATACCCTTGAAAGCAGCATTACAAATGAATATTTTTTCATTAATAAAATTTAAAACAAAATAAAAGCTAAAAGAAAATATTAAATATACATAAAATATTAAATAATAAAAACATTACAAAATATTAATATATTTTGTATTAGAATTATTAAAAATATGCTTTTCGTATTAAGATATATTCAAAACATATGTTTTGTATTTAGATGTATTTAAAAGGTTTTGTATTACATAAAGTAACACAATAAAAGTAAATATTTTAATGTTTATTTATAGCTAATTAATTTGTATAGGCTCCGTTTTATGTTTATTTACATTTTATATTTGTATAATCTTGCAAGTTTATTGTATAACCTATTTAGAAAAAAAGATTTAAAAACATTTTCTTCATTGAGGATGTTTTTTCTGGAATTAAATCAAATTACTTCTATTAAAAGTAACAAAAATGAAGTCAATCTAGTGTCGTGCCACACTTTTCAAGAACCTGAGCAGCATTTATTCCACTAGATTGCAAAGGCAATATCAGATGCTGAACTTTTTTCTCAACAAAATATTTTTCGCATCAAAACACAACATGATTAATTATTTTACCAGTTCCCAAAATACCAAAAATAAATGATTAAAAATGAATGTTTAAAATGCAAAGCACCCATATTGTTGTTAGAGATGCTACCAAAGAAAGGGCTAAGAAATAATAACTATCAAAAAAACTCTGTTAATCAATTTAATTTTATCATTGTAATTACTTCAATTTTTTCAGATCAATAATTGTTATGATATCAATAATTGGCTGTTTAGACAAGAAATAACTGCTGACCCTAAAGTGTTTGGATCTGCATTAGTTGCTTAGCAACTATTGCAGGTCCAACTGCATTTACAATTGTTTGGACCTTGTCTAAAAGAGAAAGGTCATCATTAGAAGCATCAGCCCAAATACCACAACAGTATTCCATATAGGGACAAATGAGAGATTTATAAAGATGAAAAATGAAATTAGAATGGATTACGAAAACGGCAAGTTCAATAAAGAAGGGCAACCTTAGCAGTTACTAAGGAAAACTTAGCAGTCTCTAACTTTGCAATGAATTGGATTGGATGGTTTCTATGAGAAATAATGCATCCAATTAATTGCAAGAATCCAAAAGAGAACATAAAAATCTTGAACATAAAGCAAGTGATTTGATAAAAGTAATGATAAAAGTTAGTAAATGACAGAGTTGTTAACAATGCCAAAAGTAGCAAGACCAAGACCAAGGCCAAGACCAAGACCAAGACCAAGGCCAAGACCAAGGCCAAGACCAAGACCAAAAGTTACAAGGCTAAGGACAAGGCCAAGAACAAGAATTTTAAGGTCAAGGCCAAGAATAAGAGTTTCAAGGCCTAGGCCTACGCAAACATTTTCCAGACCAAAGACGTAAATTTTGCCTTATGTTAAGGCCAATTATTAATAAAACTGTAGGTAACAATTGCTGTGACAATAAAATCAGATGTTGTAAAAATAAACCAAGGTTATGCGCAGAATTTAATAAAGTCAATAAGAAAATATACTTGTAGATATATATGAAAGCTGAATACAAAAATATATAAAAATAAAGAATGAAAACTTTTAATTCTTTATTTTAAAGGCCATGGTTTAAAAAATAAATGACAAGGCCAAAATTTTCAAGGCCTAGGCCTTAATTTTTGGCCTTAAGGCAAGGCTAAGCCCAATGACTAGCAACTCTGGTAAACGATAAAGGTTGCCTTTTATTAGGAATATCAACATTATTGCAGTTAGCATTTAACAGTTGAGTTTTGAGTTAAAATTCACCAGCCACTGCTAGCCACAAGGGAGCAAAATTTGCAACAACAGTTGCATGAATTATAATAATATAATAAAACTTTGCGTATTAGTATTGCGTATTACTAATTTATTAGCAGCATATTGCATATAATTAATTAAGTATAAAAAAGTAAATCTCAAAAAGAAAATCCTGTGAAAACCCTGCTATTGTTATATTATTTAAAAATACCTTTGGAAATGTGCATTCCTCATCAATAAGAGCAAGAACATTCATAGGTTTCTGAGCTAGCATGTCTAATGTTTCCTGATTATCTGTGAACTGAATATGATGCCATTGTATGGCTTCATTGTCATATTCAAGCTTTAAAAAAAATTGAAAGCAAAACATATTCAACTAATAATAGCAATAAAAAAATATATATTTACATTTATTTTATCAAGAATAAAAAATTTAATTTGATAACCTTTACAGGCTTTTTTTATAAATTCTACAAAATATAGTGATGATAAAACTAATAACAAAAAAATCAGGCAAAAAATGTAATTATGAAATTTTAAATATTACCTGTTCTAGCTTAAATATATGTTGAACAAAAAACTGCTGAAGATTTTCATTGCAAAAATTAATACAAAGCTGTTCAAAACTAAATACATTAAATAATAAAAATAAAATAAATAAAAATATTCTAGAGTGCTTATACAATATGCATATATAAACATTTTTTACTTAGCCAGTCAGAAAATTTTGATTTGTCAAAGTAAAATTTTTAAATATTATTAAAGATTCAAGACACTTAGCCCATTATAAAAAAATTTAATAAAAATTTTTTAAAATAAATAAAAATTAAATAACTATAGGTAAATGATTATAAATAGAAAAAATAAAAAAATCATTAAATATTACTAAAAAAAAACAATAGAACTTATTTGATAACTTATAACCTGTTATATATATATATAAATATATATATATATATATATATATATATATATATATATATATATATATATATATATATATATATATATATATATATATATATATATATATATATATATATATATATATATATATATATATATATATACACACATATATATATATATATATATATATATATATATATATACACACACACACATATATATATATATATATATATATATATATATATATATATATATATATATATATATATAATAGGATTAAAAAAAACAATTTAAAGACCTGTTATTATCAAAACTTTCAAATCCAAAAATATCCAAAACACCAATTGAAAGTCGCTTTTGATTGCCCTTAATATAAAATATTCTTTAATTTATATAGGTTTTAATTTATACAGCTTTTAATTAAACATGTTTTATCCATTTAAAGATACTTTTTAATATTACAAAGAAGAGTATGTAATGTAATATGGTTGTGTTGATTATGTTTGCAAAATTAAAAAACATTTTTATATTCACCAAAGGAGTGTAGACTGCTTGGTTAATTTTTCCTACAATCCAAATAAATATTCTGCCATAAATTCCTTTTGCAAAAGCATCTCGCACATCAGAAGCATGATCAGCTTGAATTGGAGATATTATTACTTCTCCTTTTGCAAATGTTGATTTATTGGTTAAAACTTTCTTTAACTTTAATGGAGGAACCTAAAAATGATTTATAAATGCTAAAGTTTTATTATTAAT